GAGCATATATGCCTTGAGCGGCACATAGCTCCAAAACACACACACACACACACACACACACACACACACACACACACACACACACACACACACACACACACACACACACACACACACACACACACACACACACACACACACACACACACACACACACACACACACACACACACACACACACACACACACACACACACACACACAGTATTATTGTATGAGAGAGGTTCCAGGTTGAATTGAGGCGAATATTTGTAATGTTCAGGTTGTTGTGTTTAATATTCATGAGAATATTTGTCATTGTTCAAATGATAATAAACAAACATATAAAGCATATTTGTCCACTCATATGTTGATAAGAGTATTAAAAACTTGAAAAATATCCCTCTAAGGTACATTTAGAACAGATAAAAAATGTGCGATTAATTTGCGATTAATCGCGATTAACTATGGACAATCATGCGATTAATCGCGATTAAATATTTTAATCGACTGACAGCCCTAATGTGACCCTTTTATTTTGTAAGATAGCAAGGGGGTGCATATTGTGACAACCAGGCCTGCCGTAAAAAGCACCCCCCCCCAAAAGATGCTTCTATTAATCCCACCCTCAAGCATTTTTGAGGGTATAGTTGTAGGACTAGTACAAATAAATGGAGCAAGTTTCATGAATGTGACACTTTTATTATGTAAGATAGCAAGGGGTGCATAACGTGGCAAAAATATGCTGACAAAGACTATGTAACATTTGTAAACACATATTTTGATTATTATATGACAAATATGTAAAATTAAACAATACATTTTAAAGCATGTGTATACAGACAGGACGTCACAATTAAAAAAAAAACATATATTAAATTAAAAAATAACTGAGAAATATGTGACGAATGAATGCAACATCCAGGATTCGACAACACTACCATCAAGTACGTAGCGAAAAGTTTAACCACAAGAATCAAGACTATATGAGCTACCACTAAACGACGAATGAAAATTACCATTAACAAAACCCTGGACGTTTACTTTTCGTTTTAAGCATCGTTTTAAGGTCTAAACATTTCATTCGCGTTCCCGTGACACGGGGTGCATTTCACGGTGGGGGTGCATAATTTGACACAACACCGGAAACCCAGAGTTTTCCCTCGAGTTAGCTCGCTAAGCGAAAATCCGGCTTCATAGTACAGGCCTCAGGCATTGGTACTTTTGGCATTGTTGGCAGGTGCCAAGTCCTGCTGAAAAATGAAATCAGCATCTCCATGAAGATATATTTAAACTATACTATGTCTTTTTTTCATGTTTTCAACATTAGATAATATTTCGTTTAAAAAAAAGATATGACATAAAATATCAAAAGTCTCGAAATCGACTGTTTCTTTAACGTGTTTTTGGTGCCTGAAATAAGGTCTGTGGTTAACACAAACTAATACGACATAAAACAAATCAGTGAATGTCCAAATCTTCTGTGTGACTAAAGAGAATACTTAACGTCATCAAGTTGAATGTTAGCCGCCTTTAGCTGCAGCTGTCATGCAGTTCTAATAGCCCAAGCTAGCTTTTTACTTCTGGGAATTGAATTTACGCCTAAAAAATCATAAAAGTGGTTGATATGAGGAGATTACCATCCTGGAAAAAAGATGCAAGTAGAATCTTATGGAATAATCCCATTTATTTTGGTCAAAGGAGCTCTTGCAATGCTTATTTGCAAACAAAAATGCGTCATCAATTCTCTACTCTTTTGATTGATTGGACTTTGCTCTGTTGTCATGGAGACTAATCAGTTGTAATCATGTGACTTGTAAAACATTGGTCATATTTCATTTATAAAATAATAAATTATTTGAGTGGATTCAGTGTCTGGGCATTACTGTTGTTGTGGAATAATGATTCAAGACAAGACTCCAGGTCACAGTTTGGAACTGACCATTTATTAAACTGAATAGCATATGCGTACAAAGTCTCTACAAAGCTAGAAAATATCTAACATACTTTTAGCCATGACGGCGAAAAAAAAGTTACAAAGCAAAGATCAGACCCTGTGCAGTACCAATAGAAATACATTACTAGCTTTTGGATGTTCCTATATGTACTCTCTTCTTCGCAAAACGGGATAAACATTAGAATATCAAAGATATACACAACATCTGTAATAAACGTTATTGTCACCTTTATATAAAGCACCTTATCAAAAACCCTCAGTGCAAATACATGTGCTGCACATGCACCGGAGCGAAAAAGATTCAAGGCCATTTTGGAATTAATTACAGACAGGATTTCTGTGCCACATTGAAAAGAAGATAAATATCCAACTTGCACATACGAGACGACATTACCAACACATATGACTATGACTCAGAAACTCAGAAATACACTGCTTTTTTATGACGTAATTAGTGCTTTCACATCCTGTAGATGCTTAATATGATTGGACATTGAACAGAAAAGCCATACAATTGGGTTAACAGAGATTGGGGGCACTATTATTTTTAATAAATCAGTTTCCTGTGACCTTACTTATTCCGTCTGCTAACCAAGATGAAAAGAGGTGTCCATATTTAATCAAATTTAAAGTGTCTCTAAATACAAAAATGCCCTTTTCTGAACTAGGCTCAAAACACAAAAGGTTAATTAATCCTATTTTTTTTTTTCATTTCTTTGTTGTTTTACTAACATCTGTTTTACAGTGTAGCCCATGAGCTAAGGATGTTAAGTGTCCTTTTCTTTGAAACTATTTTTGGCAGAAGCTAGTGGTAAGTTACTTGAGAGTGTCATAAGTCCCTTATTCCTCTGTACTTTCTGTCACATGATGACTGTCTTTGGTAAGCAGGTGGTAGACAATGACCAAACAGAGGGTCATTATTGCAAAATCAGCCCCTCTGAGCATGTACGTGTTACGTGTTAGTACTCTGCTGTGAAGGTCTATAGTCTGCCTGCAAACAACAAACCACTGTAGTGAGGCAAAGCTCTGGGAAAGTTAAAGGCGGTGGTTTTTGAAAGGAGTTTTCCTGACAGAATGATTCACCAGTGAGTTGAAAGGGTTGCATTTAGTTGGACAGGTGTTTGTAACCCTAAAAGACACCCACAGCAATCTTGAGACAAGATAAAGCTGTTTTGGACGATGACAGACCCTAACATTCTTCAGCACAAATGTAGAAGACTGGTTCCAGACCAGTAAGATCTGACTCAGGTATGAGTCATTTTAAGACTGCCAACAGTTAGCCAATGTTGACCAAAGATGGCTCTTTTCAGGTCTAGTAAACTGGTAAAACTTAAGTGTTTTTTCTTCAAATATTCTAGACACCACTAAGCATCCCAGCGAGTACAGGAAACAGAACCATGTGATTCTTGACATAGTTTTAATCAGCATACTGTATTCTCCATGGTTGAACACAGCATGCATGGTTCTTCGGTATGTCGTAACCCCAACCCTAACCCTTCAGGACTTTTTAAATAACTTTACAGCAGCGATATAAAGACAAAAATAGAATTGGCATTCTCTCGTAGTAACAAGTCCAATTTGTATTTTATAAATGAGGCACCAGACAATGTGCAAGCTGTTTCAACATGAACCACCATGTAATACACAAATGCAAATACATGTAAATAGTGCCGTTAAAAGAAGCAAACAAGAACGTGTCTCATTAACATTTGGGAACAATTAAGATACTTTAGAAAGGCTCACTGTGAACAAATTACAACAAGAAACAGCCATTAAATATGGAATTTGGATATTTAGCCCTCAGACGCTGAAAGCTGGAGCATGATAAACGTAATTATGCATTTATATGAGCTCAAATGCCTTTCTATACACACATTTACGACACCAAATTATTTTCATGAAACAGATAAGAAATGTCTACTGCTGTTCCCAACCAAAGGCACTTCATGCTGCTGGGCATGACACAAACAAACCACTTCTCACCACCTGCTACAGTACACTTAATCAACAGTTTTTGGTTTTTGATTTATAAATGACTTTAATTCTGACATACTATCATAAAACTGGAAGAAACAAGTCCTGGACTGATTAAAGGGAAATGTGTCTTCAACCACTTTCTCTCAAAATGAAAAACCATGCCATGGCTTATAGTTTGCTATGCGCTCATTGGACGTGACAATGTTTGCTGTTAGCTAGCTAGCTAGCTAGCTGGCAAAGCTATCTTTTATGGTAGAAAATCCTTACACACTGGTCAATTGACCCTAAAATTAACAGAGGCTACTCTTGGACACTAGTAAAGTCGTATATTCATTAAATACCTGAAAAAACTAAGTTTAACTTTTATTTAGGGAACTGTGTCTTCAACCACTTTCCTAAAATGAAGCACGGCTTCTAGTCAGGGCAATTCAAATATGTAAGACGTAAGAACATTTCAGGTTTAAACACATCTGTCAGCTCAAGTTAGCTGGTGCAAGAATACTGAACTAAGCTTATTAAACTAAGATAAATTAACTAAGTGAAACCTGATTATAAAAAAAAGCATAGGTTATTTTTAACAGTTTGGAATGTTTCTTCCCTTGAACATTATGAAGGACGTTGTATAGTTTTAAAGAGTCACAGTGCTTCCCAATTGATTGACCACAACCTATTTAAAATGTAAAGTTATAATCCTTAAGATTGTACAGAAATCTGAGCCAGTTTGGTCTGCATTTGTTTTAACAATAACCATTCAATATATTCAAATGATCTTATTATTTGTAGCTGCCAAAAGAGCCAGGACTGAAAGCTTAAGGATTGTATCTTTAACATGTTTTTCTTCAATCTTAATGAAGAGTCGCTTGTTGCACAAACAGGTACCTGAATGATTAAATTTCATTTATACTTTCTTATTAACATACATTTTAGATAGTGTTCCTGGAATTAAAATATAGTCTATATGCTACTATCAATAAACAATTTCCCAAAGTTCAGAAGCTATTCTTTTTTTGTGTTTTTTTTTTAAGAAAACATACAAAAAGTTAAAAATGTTATTTTCTTTGGGAACAAACCTCTTTTATGTGCAAGAATCTAGCTCACACAATTTGCAGTGGATATATGTACAAAACCAACTCTATAGTGTACTATATGATGCATAATGCAATAGTTATTTTCTTTTCTTGTTATTGATGATACACAGGGTCTGACCTTCAGTGTCCGTCAGTATCTTGGCAGATAACACACACTCTTTTGTCACAGGGAGGAGGGAATTTAATTTATTTTCCCAGGGTGGAATTTCCCAAAAGCACTTGACAGAAATAACACTTTCATTTCCATCTACAGAACAGCAAAATACAAATTTATTGGGAGAAAAAAGGGAAGAAACCAATTAGAAGGAGACGTCTCTCGGTGATATCAGATTCAGAATGTTTTTGGGGAAACCACCCAGTTAGATTCTGATGTGATTCATTGTGCTTTTTTAATAATCAATGTATTTTTTTTACAGCTAATTACCATCTGATATAGAGGTTGGAGTGAATATTGTTGTGTTGAAATGGAGGATCCTGAAGCAAACTGCTTTATAGCTGATTTTAATAATACAAAAAATACCCAATTATTATTGTGATGTTTTGCAGTAAAAATGAAGCCATTTCCTTTCTCACTATGTCGAGTAGTTTGGCTGAAAGACACTTTTGTAGAATTCTGTTTTTTGACATTTTACCTCCAATGTCACCATTAATCACCAAGCAAAAGGCCTTATGTGTGTGTGTTTGATAAGTGTGTGTGTGTGTGTGTTAGTCCTTGACGAGTCGATAGATGTGGTGCTGAGCTCCGTGCTCACTGTTAGACACCTCAAACACACACGCCATACACAGCAAGGTCTCCTGAGTGTCTCTGTTGCTCACAACCTGGACACACAGACAAACAGAGAGGGGAAAGAATATTAAAAGTTTGGTTTTAAAATATGCATTTATAGGTTGCATACAGTAAAACAGCAACAACAACATACAAATATCGCTCAATATACTCAATATACGCCATATAACGTTCATAGACAGACATATGCTGTGTCCCTATTTTAAAGACTTCCCTTAATACATTGCATGTCTTACAGTGGTGTGTTTATTAAATAGGCTATGATAAGACCCACATGTATAACTTTGATTTTTATAATGCTGGTCGCGCAACTTCCGTTGTTAAGCTAATATGTAATCGTTGAGTATCATGAACTAAGGATACAGTGTTCCACGCGTACACTTCTAACAACAATATCCAGTTGCTCAGAGTGCATTGCATTTTGCCATACTTTGCATTAGGATGCACTTCAAATAGCAAATTGAGACTGACAGAAGTCCTCACCAGCAGAATAGTAAAGTTCTCCAGCACGCTGTTCATCATGTATTTCTCAGGAAGGTGTTTGAGCTTGTGGATGAAGTTGATCATGTATTCACACATCGGAGAGCGGCTGATTCTGTAAATGAAGCGGCCATTTTCAAACCGTGCGTACTCCGTCTAAGAGAGAAAGAAAGAAATTAGTTAGTTAAGAAGAAGTCCACCATTTTGTTTAAGTACACAAATGAATAGGTTTACTAGTTATTAGCCAATCCTGTAAGAAAATCAATTATAATGTCTCATGTGGCTGTGGAATACTGTGTCACCTCACAAAGTAATACTAATGATGTCATAAAGGTTTATTTAATGTCATTAGGATTTATCATTACAAATTTGAACTGAAAGCCTGTGGTACAAAGTTGTTAAATATTTTTAATTTACCAGGGAGAAAGTATCAAGTTGCTATTCGGGATCTTATAACGTTTTTGGAGTGCGTCATGCCATGATTTATCACAACTCTGTGCACCTGTTTCCTGAAATATCTCAATACCAAAAGGCATGTTGTTTATGCATCTGTAAGTCTGAAACAATCTCATACAGTATTTCTAAATACTTTTCACCCCTCTGACCACAATCATTTGAATTCCTCCTCACCTCAACCTTCTCGACCACCTGCTTGCCGAAGGAGCAGACCTTGGTGGAGCAGGTGATGGTCATGTTCTCCGAGCTCTCGTATTGGCTGGTGACTCCATAGAACGCTGCCGGGTCGTCCTGCACATTAGAACTTAGGTCCGCCTGACAACAACACAGAAATAAATGTTAAAAAGTACACCATTAACGACAGTGTAACATTTCAACGTTTATTACCAAACAGTCTAATCAATCCACAGAAACATGAGAGCAAAGTAGAACCAAAGTGCCCTCTGCTGGTCTGTTCTAAAACCTGGGCCCACACTCATATTTCTCATGATATACATATATTGTCATTGTCAATTTAAAATCAGATATAATATGCATTTGCTTTTTTTTAAAAACTATTTTCACCTGAAATATTTGAGATCAGATATGCATATATGATTTAATTTGTCCAGGTTCTGAGGGAGCTGATGTGATTTCTGCTTCCACCCCAGACTGCTTTTAAAAGGGTTTGAACAAAACTCGATTCCTATCTTTGTCACAAATCAAATCACAATTTAGAGCTGCTTTTAATGTGTAATTAATCATTTATTTATGAATTTGAAAAGGTATCTGTAATGCGTGTTTGAGTACCTTTAATGCGTTTTTGAGTACCTTTGAGGGAACTTTAGGATTTTTGCCATTTAAATGCAAAAACAACTATATTAATGACTGTTTGTAAATGCCATTTTATAATGTGTTTCTGCTGCACTATTTCTTAATGCCGTTAATGTTTTTCGTTTTTGTAAAGCACTTTGAATTGCCTTGTGTTGAAAGGTGCTGTATAAATAAACTTGCCTTGCTTATAAAACACTACAGGAAAGGGAAAACCACAAAATACAAAATAAGGCCCCCAATGGAACCTTTGCAATTATTCACAAATAGGGAGATACTGGAAGATACAACAGGGTAGAAATGGTTCCTGTTTAACTATGTGTCATTTAAAATGTTTAATCATTGAGAACATGTTGCACCTGGATTACAGGCTGAGAGACATGGAGAAGGGTTTGTACCGTTTGTAATGAGTTCTATAAGGAGCAACATGTGTCTCAGGGCTGAGAATAAACACACACTCCATATGCTAAGTCCATCCATTCACTCATACTCACACACACCAACATATATGCTCAATAAAGCAGCTGCAGATTATCAGAAAACATGCTCCATTGTGGTAGATCAGAGAGCTTTTTAATTAAATTCAGAGAGAAGGCTCTCTACATGAAACACACACACACACACACACACACACACACACACACACACACACACACACACACACACACACACACACACACACACACACTCTTTGTTTGTTGTCATGCTACAAGCACGTCTCATCTCTTCTTCATTGTATAGTGAACCCACTTCACTGGCCTGCAGGCTTCTGTCCTCCCCTGCATGGTTTTACTGCTGACAACCTCACAGCGTCATTCACACTGTCCAGCGCTCTGATAATTAACCCTTTGTTAAACCCCGCCCCCAAAAGGGATCGTCCAATAATAGGTTAGCAACCGTAACTAGCCACAGCAAGCCTGTCGAGCTTTGGATTTCTGCACGGTATGCATGGGGCTTTAGCAAAAGGTGATATCCTTCAAAGACTCGGTGGTGTCGTGTTATCTAAGCAAAAACACACGTGTAAAGGTGAAAGGAATTTGTTCAAACCATGCATTTGTCTGCTGTAACGTGAGCTACAAAAAGTGGTGCTGGGATGAGTCCTTGACCCTGAAAATGAGTCAGCATTTGATTAGTTCTGAGCTTTTTTTTCAACCCTTTTTTTATTAGTTTTTGGTTTGATGCCTGAAATAAGATCTGTGGTTAATAGAAGCTAAATAGATTTTCACATTTTGTTATACAAGAAAGGGATATGTCAGTAAAAAGCTAAATAAATACTATTACGAAGCGTCTATGTGTCTTTAAAAAGGCGGTTGCTAACAAGTGATTGAAGGAGACTACAGTATTGTCCCCAGTTAGCCCAATATTACGGAAATCTGTTTTCATGTAACGTAGAAGAAAGGGTAATAATTTCCGTTACATAAATGTATTTCATAATTAAATAAAGTCTTGTAATATGAGTGTTTTCAGTTCTCTTCTTTTTTCAAACAAATATACATTTAAAAAAAGTCATTTTTGGTAGTAGTAGTAGGCCTAGCTAAAGTACACTTAAATTAAATCTAAATATCCATTACTCTCTCTATGACCATATTTATGTCCTGCGCAAAAAAAGAATAATATCGCAGTTTCAAAAGATCTGGTAATAATTGGCATTAATAAAAAACCCTTGTCTCCAGCAGGATGAGTCCTCTGAAAAATATATTTTTGTCTGATACCAGGAAGCAGTTATTTAAAAATAACTGAATTTTATTTGTAAATCTACCACTACTTTCACTGTATAATCCAAAAGATCGCAAACATGGACGAAATGTGAGACATACAAAATAGTTCCTTGAGGTAGGAAGTCTCAGACCTACCAGACAGGCAGATCAGAATAAATTCTCTATTTTCACGTCAACCGTGAAAAAAGTTTACTCTGAAGTTTATGAATTGACAAACATGGAAGGAATTCTGTTGCAGGGATCTTTTCTAAAGTCCTTGACTCTTAAGTGAGAGACAGACACGCACGCACGCACGCACGCACGCACGCACGCACGCACGCACGCACGCACGCACGCACGCACGCACACACATACACACACACACACACACACACACACACACACACAGGTGGAGACAGAGAGCAACCTGTGAGTCAGGAGGTGAGCAGGTGTTCAAACAAAGCGACTGTGCTTTCATCAACCCACCACCTCCATATCCCAGGTGGAAAGACAGAACAAACACACACACACGGCACCCACAAATACAAACTACACACACACACACACACACACACACACACACACACACACACACACACACACACACACACACACACACACACACACACACACACACACACACACACACACACACACACACACACACACACACACACACACACACACACACACACACACACACACTGACAAAGACATGGCACTGGGTGAAAAACTCAAGGTATAAGGTGGAGCCAATAACAAAATAAAAAAGTCTCTGCCAATGTCTCAATTATGTCAAATGAATATAAAATGGGTTTGAAATGAAAGAAAATTCTTGCATAAACAGGAAGTAGGTAAGTGTTTGTCTGCTCACCCAGAACTTGATCAGGTAGAAAGCGTTTTGCGGGCCCTTGGCGAACAGCTCTTTCAGGCCCCCTTTCTTCTCGGGGAACTTGTCGTAGATCTGTCTGATGTCCACACACTCCAGCATGGGGTCGCTGTAACTCGGGTTGTTCTGGCTGATGTTCACAAACAGGTGCTTGTTATACTGGGGGGAGGAAAACTTTGAATTAGCCAAGGATTGAGGCGGAAAATGGGTTGATAAAAAACAGCTGATCTCAATATGGGACAGAAAACCGCAAAAGAAAGACAGAAACAACACAGTATTTTGTGTAGAATGGGCTTCATTTGGATAAATGGGTCAACCAATTTTATTTGAACAAAAAACCCTTAATTCATGAGATTTGACAGTCTTAAACAGATATTTCCCATGCATAATGGGGAAGATACACCTCTAAATCCATATCATCTTAATTTTGGGATTAGACTCTAATTATGTATGCAGACACGCTATTCAAATTGCATTGTATACTGTGCGCCTCACGATATTACAGAAAAAAAAAAATATGTATATATATTTTTAAAAGATTATTGAGAAACTGATGTCCATTTTGTCATAGGAGAGATGATCTACTCCTGCTAGATTTGTTTGTGTGTGGGTGTCTGTTTTATTTCTGTTTTTTTAATAGGTTTTGTCTTAAATGTAGGACTGTGTTGTATCGTCTTATGATTGTTGAGAAAAAAAAAGTTAAACATAACAACCCAACAGGGAAAGAAACATGAGTCAACGGGAGACAGGTCGTGAGCTGTCCCCACATCTCACAAATGAAAGGTGTCCCATGGAGCTTTGACAATCACAAGCATACATGGCGAAACTGAAACAGATTCCTGCATACAAAAAGTAGTAATGCACCAAGATAGCAAGGAAGAAGACAGCTAATTTGCAAACATTGATGTAAGCAATGTAAATCAAAAATATGATATATAATATAATAATGTGAGAAACAGTGAATGTTTCCATAACTGTAGGTTTACAAGAAACCTCTACAAAGAAACTTAAACTAGGGAGCAAAATGTAGACTATAGATCCAGGTTTAAAGCACACCTATGTATTACTTTCATGATAGAAATACAATTTAAAATAGTTCCATTTTAAACAGCAAGAGGCCACTGTTCAAACTTGGATGACTAGACGTTTAAAGTCAAATAAAATCGTAATCGTTATGTTCTTACAAGCAACAAGTTACTTCTTTATACCACTGCCAAAGAGGCTGTTTGGCACAGTTTGTTTGTGAGTCAGCAGGAATAGTGAAAAACTATTGGCTGTTTTAATATTAAATGTTGAAGGGTCTAGCACATACCAAGGAAGGACCTATTCAATTTAGAAGCGGATCCTAAAAATGTTGTGAATACACAAGTTATGTTTCACTGACAATAATATTAGGAGATTCATGGGGACCAAGTGACTGTCACTGTATCCTAGCGCCGCCATATTTGTGTCAGTCGCAGCTTGTAATAACATCAGCAAAGACGGAGGAAGATCCAAGAAAAGTTCAATACAATCGGTAAATGTTCATTAAAATAATCACAGGATATTAGGGAGTTATCGCTGAACGAATGGTTGGACATTTGTGCTGCATTCATGTGGTGTAGGATTAATAACTGAATGGTCGTTCCTGACCAAGAAAATGCACGTAAACTCAATAAACAATAAATTCAGAAAACAGCAAGTTAACGCCTTAACACTCTAGTGTGGTTTTGAACTAGAATGTTATGTGTTTCGTCCATGTACGACATTATGATTTAAAGCTCTTAAACACTTAAGAAGAACAACTTCCCAACTCTGGAAATTGGGCCATCCGAGGACCATTTGAAGGCATCATTGGCCTTTGTGGAGGTCTGTGCTCTCTGTGCTCATCTTTGTCTTTGTGTATCATAAATGCTATGATACATTTTATTGCCAAATGCCTCTTTATTTACAATGTAAAATATCCATGAAACATGACCCCTATTGGCAACAGAGTCTATTTTTAAAGTCAACATAGAACCGTTTGAGGTTTGTAACTGTCCAAACAGTTGTAACAAGATGAATGCCAGCTGTCTGTGAGCCCAAGGTAGAATAATGACAGCGAGTCCACAGTGTGACAGGATGACGGATAGAGTGAGCAGACACAGAGATAGAGCTTTACAAAGGTTATTCATACTAGGATACACACAAAGGGCTTTAACGCGGTTCTCTGCTGTGGGGTTATCTGTCATCTCTGTTTATGGGACAATAGGGAGAGCTTATTGCAGACCGTGGGTGTGTGTGCATGTGTGTGTGTTGTACTCACTGCCTCCTGGTCCCTCTGTGTCTCCAGGAAAGATGAAAACTCTACCAGTCGTAGTTTGGTGGTGCCGATGGAGCGACCATGCCATGCTGGCTCTCTGTGTGTTTGGGCTGCAGCAGGAGGCTCGTAGCCTAGACAACACACACACACACACACACACACACACACACACACACACACACACACACACACACACACACACACACACACACACACACACACACACACACACACACACACACACACACACACACACACACACACACACACACACACACACACACACACACACACACACACACACAACACACAGTCTGGTTAAAAGCACTTCATCACCACCATCATGTATAATCATGCTATTTAACAGGGTTATTCAAGCATTATTATTTGGTCCAATCGTGTAAAATGTAAGCCTGACTGAGGTGAAGGACTGAAAGGCAGTTACCAAAAGTAGATGTAAAAGGTAAGGTGACCAGATTTTAAAAAGCCTCTCGCTTTTGACGGCTGCCATCATTTTGAGTAAAATGTACTCTGTGACCTCAATGAGTTGTTAAAAATGTTTGGGGAAATATCAGCAATTAAGGGGAGTCAAGTAAAATGTTGCTCTAATATGTAGATTTTGCTGAACCACAGTGTAGTTTGTCACATGGCTGGATTAGCCTTAGGGGGAAAAAGGGGCAGTTTGCGCAATATGAGCCAATCTAAACTCCCTGAAAAAGCCCTAAACTAAACAAAATCAAACTTAAAATGTAATTCTCCTCACTTTTGTTTGAGATTTTTTAACTGCTTCGATACTAAAGCTGTTTTTTTGTTTTTTTTTAAAACACTAACCCAAAAGCTAGGGGGATACAGTTTGTAGGGAGTGGTTAACTTGCTTTCAGACACAATCTGACCCTCTCTGGTGTTATACTGGCTGTAAAACTGTTCAGCCTTTGAATTTCTTTTATATAAGACATTTTTGTACTTCCCAGAGAGCACCGGCTATTAACTTAAAACTGTAAGCAGTTTGTCTATGAAAAACATTCATCATCACTGTTATTAGTTGAGGCTACAAAGGTATGCTAACAATATTCATTGCGTAGTGTAAAAGCTAGTTAGCCTAGCCTGTTATTTTCCCACTAGAATAGCTAGCTAGTTTAGCCTGCAAACATGTTCCCACTACAATTAGCTTACTATTTCAGACTAGTCTGCACACATCTTCTTGCTAGAATCAGCCAACTGATTTAGACTAGCCTGCTAAAGTTTTCTTCTAGAAATAGCTAACTTTTTCCTACTAGGTGTTAAATGTTTTTTTATCTTATATCAACACACACTGAGTCATCAGCAGCTCCTGCACAATGGTCCTCCTAAATAACAGAAGTAAGGGGGATATTCTCCCTAAAGGGTCAAGTTGTAGTCAATTCTAGCACTCCGTATATCACTAGGTAATTTATGGAGTCATGGTACGAAGTTCTTAATTATATATGGGAAAAAATCAATACCTATCCCAGTGCTTGTTGCCTGTGTTGCATTGTAGTGAAATTATAGGCATATAATCAAATGACAGCATATTAAAGTACCACCATTTCAAACTAAACCAACATTTCACAATAATGTCGGGGTGCTTTAACAAAAACAGAAACACATTTTTCTTCTTTAAACAATTGTAAAAGTAAAACCAAGGATATACAGTATATGTTTATTCCTTAGGAAAAAGGAATGTTAATTTTAAGTCACAATCTCTGTAACATACAGTACATTTTGACAACACCTATAACTATAATCAGCAATTGCAGGAAGGTTTCTGGATCTCAATTCCCCGAAAAGTAAGATTGACACCTTTTTTTCGTTTGACCTCTTTACAAGACAAAACCAAAAAGAGACAAAAACACCCTGTAGAGAGCCAGGGCCCTAAATGGAGGGACGCAGGACCACCTGTTTGCTTTACAGAAAGGATATAATTGCACAGTGGTTTCTCTCACCTGAGATTGTGGTGATCCCCGCTGTCTGCACAGAGTAGGCTTGCTGAGAGAATGGTTTAATACTGAGAGAGTCACAGACAGACATGAGAAAGAAGAAGAGACAGCATATAGGTCATTCACATTGTATCTAGATTATACAGCAAGGAATTCTGTAGCAGGAGCACAGAAGTCAAGAGTGTCTCTTGGTTCAGTAAAAGCTATACAAGCCCCATTTACTACCATTATCATCATCATCATCACCACCACATGGTTATTTAATGGCAGCTGGCAATGAAAGGAAAAGGGTTTGAACTTCTATCACAATGGTCCCCACTAGTCACTAGCCGTGTGAACATACACTAATGTAAGAAATATGAAAAGCAGTATGGATGCAAAGAGACAGCCTAGTGGTGTACATTGTATAATATGTATGAATGAGTAACTAAAGGAGGAGAATGATAAAGGAGATATTTTTCAGAAAAATACATCCATATCAAAGCTTAAAATGTATAACTACGTTAGATATGAGTGTACCAGTTGAGTTTGACTTACTCTTCAGTGGCGGCGCTAGATTGTCCTCCAGGAATCATCCCCTGCCACAGCTAAGAAAAACAACACACATGAATACACACGACCAAGGCAGCAAACCTGGACAATGTTTGTTTGTTTGTTGTTAGATTTGCACCGGGACTTCAAACAGAGCATATGTGGCTATGCACAAAAAAATGGCTTTACAGTTATTGATGTCCTTGTGTTTTCTGTATCTATTGAAGAGAATAAATACAGTGTGTGTGTGTTACCTGTGCATTGCTGGGGAAGCTGGCCCGTACGATCCCAGGCAGGAGCTTGCTGTGTATGGCGGTGGCTGAGACGATCTGAGCCGAAGACATGGAGGAGATGCTCTGCAGCGCCTTCTCCTTGGCATTCTGGTCCTGCGTGGTGATTGACATAATCCGCATCAATATTATCATCATTATCATCATCATGAACATAGTTTACATTCGGCCCCACACACTCCACACCCAACCACAACAACTTCTGTCAACCAGTGCAACAGTATGTCTCATTTATATATTTGTAATACCTTTTGGACAACAGTGGAATATCTTTGGTTTCGGAAATATGTGTTGGACAAAATCAGCAACTTTAAAATCTAAGCTATAGCCCTGGGAATTATTGCATATATAATATATATATATATATATATATATATATATATATTTCACATGTTTCTTTTTGTATTAATTTATGGTCCAATATTAAAGTGTTAAAGGGGCCCTATAATTATGCTCATTTTCAGGTTCATATTTGTATGTAGTGTCTCTTCTGTGACATGTCTCCATGCTTAAATGTTTAAAAAGGTCTTTATTTTTCTCATACTGCTGCAGCACCTCTTTTCACGCTCTGTCTGAAACCAGAGCCCAGTCTGCTCTGATTGGTTAGCTGGCCGGCTCTGTTGTGATATGGCGTTCCACTAAACTTGAAGAATCTCGTTTAATTTGGCATATTACTCTCAATGATTATAAAAAAGCACTGCGTAAAGCGAGAGCAGCTTACTACTCTTCATTAATAGATGAGAATAAGAATAATGCAAGATTTCTTTTCAGCACTGTAGCCAGGCTGACAGAGAGCCACAGCTCTATTGAGCCTTCTATTCCCATAGCACTCAGTAGTAATGATTTTATGTGCTTTTTTAATGATAAAATTGTTACTCTTAGAAACAAAATTAATGACCTCTTGCCTTTGACCAGTATAGTGTTATCAACAGCTCCCGGAACAACACACTCTCACTCCAGGAGCGACGCTTGGTCAGGGTCCCGTGGCGTGCAGTTGGGACGCGCCGAGGCTCCTTCAGCTTCATAAATGGGCGCAAAGAGCTTTCAACTGATTGCAATGTATTCCCATCGGCGGCGGTATTTGACGCTCATGGAAGCACCGCATCCGTTTATGTCGGCGGCTGTTTAAAGGCAATGTGAGCGTCCATTCCCATTGGATAACGGAGGATTTTACACCCGGAAGTAACTATTCTCCTTACTGTCGATTGATTTTACAGTGATATCTGCACTACTCATCAACTCAAAAACACCAGATTATCCTTGTTAATTACACAACATTGATTGGTTTAAATTGTGTGCAATGCTTTTGTATTTTTCCCCTTCGATTCGGAGAAACAAATATTTTTTCGGAGTTTAGGATGGCAGAAGACACTACACTACCCAGAATCCTCAGCTATCATTTAGGACTACACCATGTGCTTTGTTTGGCAAACCCTGTGATTAGTTCTCAAGCTCTGTGATTGGTTGACCTCCAACTGCATTCCATATGAAAAAAAACGTTTCGTAAAAGATCAAATCATACTTTATTCAGCAGTGCTTGCTTTACTCTTTGAAAGTCATCACATGAATGCATTGTAATGAATGGTTTGGCTGCATTAAACATTACACATCTGTCGTAGTTCTTTATTTATCTACAGAGATCGGGCCTCAGAATAGACCGGAAACTATTCTTTTACCGTTCTGTTTTAATTTCACAATAAAGTTAGTAGGAATATTTTGTTTTGATATTATTGTTTTTTATTAACTACTAGACCGCTGGGTCATGTTAAGACCATCTTTTCTGTGTTGCTGTGGGTTTTTTACATCGCTTTTGTGTTACAAATATCAAAACAATAACAAAATATATCCGTCGTAAACTAAACCAGAAACAGCAGTATATTTTATTTTGTTAACACTGTAAACTTGACAGCTTTTTAACCCAAACCACCTACTGGTTAAAGCACGTTATTACACATTTAGAGTAATTGCAATGCAGGTAGATTGTGTTGCTTTTTAATGACTGTTTAAAATGCCTTTTTCTTAATGTCTTTCATTTTTGTAAAGCACTTTTGAATGTGTTATATTTTATGAAAACATTTCAATATTAAGAGTATATACAAAATAGGAGGAAAGTAGAAGGTCAATGATAGAAATATAGAATAGAAAATATCAAGAAGATACTGTAAATGGTATCTAGAATAAAACAGTTTAGTGCCGGATGTACAAAGATATTAATAGGAGGATGTGCAAAACAGACAAACTAATTAGGCTTTATTTAAACATTAAATAATACTTTAGGTTAAGGTCTTCTTTTAAATACATGTAAGCAAAAAGCTTTGGGGGTATCTATATTAAGCCTGACAAAGTACTTAACGTTTAATATATTGCATGGTTTGTTTTGGGACTTGACAATCAACTTTTCTGCAATGTTAACTATGTTGAAGCACTTATTTTAACCGATATTATACATATTTATTATACTCTTATAAGATGTATGTAGATAGAATAAGAAATGTGCAGAATATGACAGTTTAATGGTGGAGGTACACACATATTGATAGATCTCTTGTTGAGGAACCTATGACCCAAGTTTGTCATCATTGCATAACTACACCGTAGTTGTGTATATGATATTTCAATAAACCTTTGAAAATCTTGAAATCTCGAAAGGGATGTGCAAAATAGCCATTATATATAGTTTTTGATGAACAATTAGAGAATAACGAGTAATGAATATGCTTTATAGGGATCTGCAGATACATTTTGTGTCTTCTCAAGCACCAACTATCAAATATCTCGACTGATTGTTTGCACTTGACAATCACCTTCACTGAATTTTACTCAGGTGTAACTAAAGTCTGATTTAAGGGTTATATTTCACATCATTAATCCAAATCTGTAAAGTAACTCAAATAAATGTAGTAAACATACCAGGTTAACCTTAAAGAAAGCCCTCAGGATTATAAAAGAACCCCATCACCCCAGCCACAAACTGTTCTGTCTGCTGCCGTCTGGCAGGCGGTACTGCAGCATCCGGACTAAAACCACCAGACTCAGGGACAGCTTCATCCCACAGGCCAGAAGACTATTAACCTGTTAAGCCCTGAGCCTGTTTTTCAGGTCTCAGGCTCGAAAATGACATTCCCAGAACAAATGACCATATCTTCCCTTCTAAAAGGGTTAAATTAATAATCTTTTTTCTCAAAGTAATGATAAACCTGTGAGTTGGATGTAGAAAAGGCAGAATCAATATAGATGTTTTTTATTTTAAAGAAAATTCAGATTTTACATAGTAAAAAACTGTAAATTATAGTGTCCGTCCAAAAATCTTTTTTTACTTATAGTGGAAGCTACCCTTGGATGATGGGTTAGTAGACTAAAAGCTTTAGGAATCCAAAGTACAACATATAATAAGTACCCTGTATCAAGATTGATGCAAAACAAGTGACATTTGACCTTTTTAGAGAGATTTAGCAAAAAGAAACCACTTCTGGGGTCATTTGGGTGGATTTTCCATATCTCTGGCCCCCTTTGCTCGATTTTGATGGTTGACACCTCTTTCTGACCGTTAGAGCCAATAGAATCGAAGGGGGAGTCCCCCACACACACTCATTGTGAAAAGAAAAGGTGGGGGCTTCGCACATGCAGTTTTGCATCAGAGCGAACCTATCTTTAGCTTTGACATCTGGAAACGGAAAAGCAGTTTCATTGCTTATGGATTATCAGAAATCATTTCAAAGACCACTTTGGAGAGACTACAGAGCCAAGGTAAAAATGTTAGCATTTTTAGCAACCTAGCGTCACCTGTTTTTGATGTCCGTTTTTCAAAGTGCTGTTTGACGCGGTGTAAACTTTGCGCACTGCCACTCCAACATCCAATCACAGAGCTTGAGAACTAATCACGGGGTTTGTCAAACAAAGCACATGGTGTAGTCCCAAACGATAGCTGAGGATTCTGGGTAGTGTAGTGTCTTCTGCCATCCTAAACTCCGAAAAAATATTTGTTTCTCCGAATCGAAGGGGAAAAATACAAAAGCATTGCACACAATTTAAACCAATCAATGTTGTGTAATTAACAAGGATAATCTGGTGTTTTTGAGTTGATGAGTAGTGCAGATATCACTGTAAAATCAATCGACAGTAAGGAGAATAGTTACTTCCGGGTGTAAAATCCTCCGTTATCCAATGGGAATGGACGCTCACATTGCCTTTAAACAGCCGCCGACATAAACGGATGCGGTGCTTCCATGAGCGTCAAATACCGCCGCCGATGGGAATACATTGCAATCAGTTGAAAGCTATTTGCGTCCGTTTATGAAGCTGAAGGAGCCTCGGCGCGTCCCAACTGCACGCCACGGGACCCTGACCAAGCGTCGCTCCTGGACGTTTAGGGAGTGAGAGTGTGTTGCCCGGAAACGTAAGTTCTAATATTACACTAGATAGTAAATTAGAATGCTTTTCACCCATAAACCTTGAACAATTGAATTCAATGATTCTTTCTTCTAAACCATCAACGTGTATCTTAGACCCGATTCCAACTAAACTGTTAAAGGAAGTTTTTCCATTAATTAACACTTCGTTATTAAAGGTGGGGTAGGTAATTTTGGAGAAACCAACTCGAGTGCGCTAAAATTTGAAAATACACAGTCGGAAAAAATCTGCCACTTCCTTACAGAGCCCCTCCTCCAACACACACGAACGCGCACATGACCAATGAGGGCACGAGATAAGTATGTGCACAGATGGAAGGCTGACAGGCAGATAGGCCATCCAGTTATTTTAGCCGGCCCGGCTAAAATGATTGGTCGTGCTTTTTACAGTACTACGGCTTCCACAGATGACATTTTTTTATGGATTTTTTGTCAAAGCACTTAAGATATTCATTGCTATCGGGATGTTAAGAGCATTCCATGGAATATAACAAAAAGTGTATCTCGAGCCGGTTTCTCAAACTTACCTACCCCACCTTTAAATATTATGAATATGTCTTTATTATCAGGCTATGTTCCACAATCATTCAAAGTAGCAGTGATAAAACCGCTTCTTAAAAAGCACAACCTCGATCCAGAGGTTTTAGCCAACTATAGACTTATTTCTAATCTTCCGTTCCTCTCAAA